TATGCTATGGGACTCCTACTTTACCTGCTAACAATTTAGCTGGCTAACTAACTCCAATTCATCTTCTGGGTTCCCGCCTGGCCGATTGATCCGATGAGATTCAGGAAGAAAGATGTTCCAATCGTGATGGTTCTTCAACGACGAATTCCTCGTCTATTTGTGAATGATTGTTCATTCGCTATTTTATAACTATTGGATCAACTACTCGGGCTTTTAATAACCTTTGAACCCCGCGGGGGAACCCTAACCTAAAGTGACTTGCCCGTTCATTCTGATGAAATCACTTATATCTTTGCTTTAGAAACGATCTTGGGAGGCTCGCTATCCCGATTTATTCTGAAGTGCAGGCGGGGTAAACTAATCATAGCGAGGACCTCCTGTGAATCTTTGACTCAGTCAGCTCTATGCCTTTGTCTTGCCTTTGTTTACCCTATCCGATTCTTTACTTAATAGTCTCTACCTTTGTATCTGATGTTCCTGCACCCTTTGCTTTAGCATATCCATCTGGATGCAGTGAAGAAGCATAATATCCTTATCCATAAGTCTAACTATAACCATTGGTTGGTTCAATGTAATTAGGATCACCTTCTATCTTTGGACTTATTCTCTACTTCACCTGAGACTTGGGGTTCTTCTTCAACTGTCTCAGAAACCTAACATTGCTCTGTCGAGGATGAGGAGCCATCACTCTGACTGCCAGAACAGAACAAGGACCTTCTCTGATGACGCAACCTTCAAGAAGGGAATTCGGAATCATCAGACGACTTTGCAACAAAGAGAAAAAGAGTGCTTTCTCAAAAAAGAAAGAGAGATTAGCATTCCTCCGATCAGCATGAGAGCTCGATCCAGCTGAAAGCGATCCCTCAGAAAGTCCTTATAAACGGACTGCTCCTCTATATGCTCCGAGACCCTCTCCTTGCTCGAGGGAAGATGTGCGGTTCTCTGCTTCAGCCGCGGGCTGAACACTGGAATTCCAAGCAAAGAAAGATGATTCAGTGGAGTAATACACTGTGTGGGACGGAGTAAGGGCCCATCGAAAGAAGAATGCCTCTTTTCTGTCTTACATGGACTCCGGTCTCTCTACCTTCAGCGTGCCAAATCCCAATCTGCAACAGAGCGAGTAGCCTGGTCAACGAGTGCGAAGGGAGGTGCAGACTCTATTTGAATGGGTATTCTTGTTACCCTAGTAGAATTACGCTCAGTCCTTCATCTTACTGACCTGTGCATATTCACTCAACCCAAGGCAGGAGATGACTTTGATTACCCGTTCCGCACCTGGATGACTTCATTTCATGCTTCAAAGCAGAGTTGAAACCCTAGCACCGAACCCTAGAAGTGAACTAGTCGAATTCCATTCCAAATAGGCTAATGAGTCCGCTGCACACTTTCTATATCCGTACCTCATGCCCCCAATTATTCGACTGATAGTTCCGATCCATGTACTGCTTTTACTCCTGACTTGACTTCGGAATGAGATGAGGGAAAGAATCCATATCTATATGAGACAGCTGAAAATGCGTACTTACTGCATCAAGTCATTTTCCATCGAGTGAGATCCCTTGCCTTATAGGTTCATTGAACTAGTTTCATTCCCGAAGATCACTGAACTACCTTAGAGGTTCACTCACTTGAAAGCGTCTTCGAGTTATCCTCAAATAAATGCATGGGTTTTTTCATAGCGACTTTTTCTTCCCGTACAGAACGAGTTACGTCCCTTTCGGCATACGCCCTACCCCCTTCATGTTCCCGAGGTCAATTAAAGGATCCGTTCACCCTACCTGTCGAGATAGACACAGGTGGTAGTCTCATTACTAATGCCACTGGCAGGCGATCGGTTTAGTTCTGGATCATCTACGCCTCTGGTCCTCAAGAGTCTTTTCTACGCTACGATCTTTGATTAAAAAAAGCGAGATGCTTCCAAAAAATACAGTTTGATTTCATTGTTTTCATCAAGGTCCGTTGTTGTGACTGGAAGAATTGATTCAGAATCGGATGCCCTATCTTCTCTTCCTTCCCCTTCTTCTGAGTGAGGACATATCCTAATGAATTAGACGACCTCGGAAGGAACCATTAGAGGAGAAGGGTGGTCTACGATCAGGTGAGGAAGGTTACTGGCCCAATATGAAGGAAGACGTTGAAGATTATGTGAGTACCTGTTTTACCTGCCCGCAGGACAAGACTGAGAGATCTCATCCAGCAGGTCTACTCGAGCCTCTACCAATCCTGGAGCGACCGTGGGAAAGTCTTTCTTTCTTTGGATTTCATTGTGGGATTGCCAAAAGTGGGGGAGTATTGAAGCATCTTGGTTTTTGTGGGTAGATTCTCAAAAGAAATATGCTACATTCATTCCTGCTCTAGCTACTTGTTCAGCAGAGGAGACCATTCCCCTTTCTTCCTTGCGCTTAGAACTAAAACGTGAGGCATGGTAATGGCGCATGTGTGATATTCTATTGATCCAGTTTAGGCAGCTTCAGGAAAGCAGGAATGGACAAAATGTCTT